TGCCGCTAGGGGCGCTGAGGTCGCTAATGCTGAGAGATAGGCCAAAGTGTCGGCGGTCGGCGCCGCATGGGTGTTAATATTTGGGGGAAATAAAAAATGTCACACGGTTTCTACGTGTCTGGGGCACGATAAAATCAGTGGAGCACCATGTTTTGCGAAAAAAGTGCCCAAAATGACACACCCTAATAATCATTCAATGCTAAATGCGTCAGATAACTTGTCCAGCAGCGCAACAGTACTAAGCGGTCTTCTAACGACTACCGGTCCGAGCGGCCAGGATGATTCAGTCATGAATAAACCAGACATTAATTAGTATGCTAGCCGTGTGCGGTAGAGCTCACAGCGGATGAATCGTAAGATATTAACAATGAAGCCATTAAAGGTAGTGTGCCACCTTTGAAAGATTTCCCATTTTATTTTTCCTAGGATAAGAAGCTTCTGTTTTTACCTAATATCGCAAAAAAATCAAAAATGGGCCTGGAATAGTGCCTTTTTCGCCTAAAAGTTTTTCGGTTTTTATATGTATAACAACTGTAGTGGGCTCACCTGCAAACAGGCGTCGGGCAACAATCGCGAATGCGGTGCACTTGTGACAATAAGCAAAGGTCATTATAGTGTTACGACCATACGACGCACGGGAATGAGTTATCAGCTGTCTAATCGTAGACAACACAATGTCGAGCCTTAAACTGTAAGCCCGTATTGTATTGTTTCTTTTATTTGGCTGTCGAACATTATTTATGGTTTGAAATATGATTTTATGTAAAATAATTGATATGAAAAAGCCGCCTTATAAGTTATGACCCCATTTCACCACACGCAAGTGGCAGAAATGACAATGATCAGCTGACGCATTTTTCTTGGCCGAAGTCAGAGCGCGCGGCCCGACGCACCACGCGTATTTGGAAATTCCGACCTCGACGAGCATCAGAAGCCACCTAACAGGCGTGTTCGAAACCGCAGGAGATGATGATGAACGGGTTTATCGAAACTTGATTGGATGAGCCACAGATAACAGTAGTACTGGATTGGAAACAGAATATTGGCAGTTGCAGTAAGAGGCCGAATGTTTTTATGCGACGGCGCCAAAATGGGATTCTCGCGTGCTGCTGGGTGGATAATTTGTGTGTTGTGTATTGCAAGAAATCGTCATTTTTGTGTTTTGTCGTTTACATTTAAAATCGAAGCTACCAATGTTACTTTCATTTGCTTGAAAAATTAAAGTATTTCACTTTTAATTTGATTATTTAGAGGGCACAATGCGTGTTGTTTTCTTTTGAAAACAAAGTGTGGTGCAAAGCCTTCCATACGTATAGGTACATCAACAATGGAGGAGGGGAATGAGCGGTAAAAAACTGCCGTTCTGGCTACAACCCAACGAACCAAGAGAAACAAAAGATTAAAACAGGAGATGTCTCACATGCCACCTATTCGCTTTTTCTCACCGAAACATCTCTACGGGCTCAGTGGGTTGGCGCCATGGGTCACCTTGACCGGGCTGAGTGAAATCAGGACTATTCCGCTGCATGTGTGAGCTGCATTTCAGAAAGGAAAATTTCGAAGATGATCGGTCATTTCGCACCGGCATGCGAGACAGCGCCGTCGGCTCAAGAGCGGCGCAGTCCTGTCAGTATTGACCAGCGTGGATTATGCGATGCCCCCTGTGCACGAGCGGCCAGCGAAAACTAGCCATGGCATCCGCACGCCACTCACACCAGAAGCAGGTTATGAAGGACCAGACCGATGCGTTCTTCACGAATGACAATGTCAGCTATCAGGTGGCAACTACAACTGGTCGAGTGTCCGACAGTTCCTGGAGAATGAGGCGGTACTCCGAAGTCGAACTAAAGGGCCTCAGATGGTGGTCACTGGTCACGTTTCAGCCCCGCCGACGCCTCCGCCCGAATGGCACCATCAGCATCACAGCAGGAGCGACAGCAGGATGGTGCACTTGTCATCCAGGAGCCGGTGGCCGAGGTGGCGAAATCCACTGAAATGGAGGACCTGGATGACAGCGCCAAGGCCTCCCTGGAACACAGCTCTGGCGCCCTTGGCACGCTCGGCCACCAGGCGTAACAAGTACGGTGCCTCCGCCAGCCTGCTGATCTATCTTGGGGCTACGCCGCTGGAGGTACGACTGGAGAAAGACGAGGAAGACATCGACCTCACCGTGAGGATCTGCCATATTTGGAGGCAACTGCCGAAGACGGAAGCTAACAGGAACCAGCTGCTGGTCTGTGATCAACCAAGCAGTGACGAAGATAGTCGTAAACCGGGATGTCGAAATGACCGGAAGTCGTTTGCAATGATAGCCACGACGTCAGGAGCCTCCTTCCAGAGATGCATGCGACGGTTTTCAATCTATTTGCTGGAAAGTGTGGAAACATGGTAACTGATAAGTGAGGCAGACACTCAAGACAGTGCTGTCCATCGAAGGTCAGGAAGCAGACACCCCAGCGGCAATCGGGTTGCACCCCAGGTGCAACGCGATCGAGGAGCGACAAGAGGCCAAAGCTCAGCAGGGTCAAGAAGATGTAAGGCGGGGGAAGTAAGGTCGCTGATGAAATTGGGAGGGCAGGCGAAGCGAAGTGACACTTGAAGGGGTGTTTTGTGACGTTGGTTGAATTGTGACGTTTGGATGGTTCGCTGTGACAGGACTGGTGTCGATTAGCATGTAAATAAAGAGATCGAACTCCCATGTACAAGTACTTTTTTGTGGATGAGAGTGGGAAATCATTATAATCAAATCAGTGGCATACGTTCCCTCACCACGGTGAGAAAAGTGTAACCAGCAACGTTTAGTAAAATAAGTTGCCATTATGCAAAAATGCAGCAATAAACACGAGCACGGCTAGTTTGCTTCTTTATAAGTTTCATTCACATAAACCATTTTTTTGCCTGTGTGAGAAGATATCGAAGTCTGGGCACGAAATATTCGGTTCTGTTTTCGGCCTCTTACTGCAGCCACCGGAATCCTGTTTCCAATCCAGTACTACTGTTATCTGTGGATGAGCATATCGGTAATAGCGATTTCAGTGTGTGCATTTATTGTTCATAGTGGTGTGAAATGTGGTTGGGGTACGACCGACAACCCGTCGGGGTGAATTTCGCACTGGGGTACTCAAAATTTGAAGAATTTAAGACGTTTCCATGAGTTTTGAAGGTATGGATAAGTTCTAAAAATCCGGTTCTCCTTATCTGGGCCATTAACTCCATACGGTCCAAGAAAGCTGGCACACTACCTTTAATTCGAAACTCTACCCGATCCAGCAGTAAGCTAGCTTCTGCATGCTCTTCCAGGCAAAAGTAGAAATAATGCATCTAATTATCTATGGCCGAGAACCATAGGTACACGCTTATACATTCACAGCACAAATCCGTATAAATAAATCCCAGCGTGAGGCTGTGGCCATATATAGTTGTTCTCCGAAGCCTTTGTATTTAAATATTCCAAGGCATGCCTCCCAGTTTATGTTGTCATTTCAGCAAGTCATCACTGGCGCAAACAAGCCAGATATGCCATAGCACAATCTAAAATTAGCACGCCTGCTAAAACTACAATCCAGAGTCCAATTATAGTGGCCAGTCTGCATCTCACCGCCGACCATAACGCTCGAATGGCCTTCACGAAAACGGCCCCTCGATCTGTCCGAAACTCAATGTAATGTGCCGACAGGGCGCTTTCATCAAGCCCACATCATGCAACATAACGATATTGCCCGATTGCACCACCGTTTTCACATTCTCGTCTCAATACGATATGGCTCCGCAGCGTGAAATTGTCCCACTATCCAGCTCCTAATGACAGTGCTTGACATGATGGATGGCAGAAATCGCCGCGATGCAACTCACTAAACGGTTGGCGCTTCGGGGAAAATAGCTCGTGGTCTCAATCACGACTAAGCCTGTGTACATAATGGGTTCACATCATAACAAAGCAACCACACAATCGGCTGCAATCATCACGCCGCCGCCGCGCGCTCTGCAATTCGCAGAAACTCGCGTTCCGCCCGTCGCCACCTCCGTTGGCCGACTCGACCGCTCGGCCGAGGCCTTTGTCATACAGAAATACGTGCTGCCCGCCGTGCGCGCGGTACATAAATCTACAGCTCGGCGGCGGCCGGCGTGGTGCCGAACTGCTGATAAATTCGGCTGCGCTGACGCGGCGCGCGGGCCAGCGCCGCTTGGCCGGCAGTAAAGCGGCCCGCTCGGCGATTATGAGCGGCTCACCGCGAGCCGGCGGCCGGCGCGCGCGCGCCGCTGCACCGGCCGCCGCCAAGCCCACCGCCGCCGCGTTTACGGCCGCGGACGTGACTTGTGGCCACCATGAGCGGGTGCGACACGCCGTCGAGCCGTACCCAGCATGTTTACTGGCCAATCAAGTCTATTGTTTGACAGGGTATTTGGCGTGATTCCGCCACAGCTCACACGGTCCGTTAGTTATGAAACTGCCCGCCCGGCCACACTAAACGTCCACTCAGTGTATGATACACGGCTGCTCTCGGCTACCTGGCGATAAAGCAAATAACCCTGAATTATACAAGTATCAAGGATCCGTGTAAGGTTCAATTTACAATGCTTACCTAGCTACTTGGTTCGGTTTACGAGCGGGGGGATTATGTTAGGCCCGAACCGCCCGTGGCGGCCTGTGCCGTAATTTTGTGGAACGGATCAGCGCATCGCATCAGCCGCTCTGTGCAGTCGTGCCTTTCGTGTTGCGCTGTGGCGCACATATAGCTTAGATAATCGTAAGTTTCATGGAACTGACGCCCACGCTCAGAACTTTTTCGTGTACGAAGTGGCACCGAGTGGGTTATCCGGTTCAGGCAGCTTCGGATTTCAACACCAACGAGCAGCTTCAACTGCAACCACAAACGTGCAACGAGCTGGCATTACTAATTCCGGGCAAAACCGATAATTAGCCAGTGCTTCTGGTGGAGCCAGTGCCTCTACAATCCATCCATGAAGAGCATCATGTGCATTGTGCGGTATGAACTGACCTGTTTGAACTGTTCCTCGTAGTTCCACGGTGCCTGCGTGTTCCCCGTGCCGGTGGCGGCGGCCGGCTGGCGAGGCGAGTGGCCCGACGAGCTGTTCGGCGGGCTAGCCGCCTCGCGGGCCGGCGGCGACGCGCTGCTGGCCCGGCCGGCAGCGCCGCCGTAGCCAGCCAGACCGCCGAGGCCGGGCAGCGGCACCAGCGACGGCGGGTTGCTGGCCATGGAGGCGGCCAGCAGCGACTGCGGCGACAGACGGTGGCGCGGCAGCGACGACGGATCGGCCGACGCGCGAGACATCATGCCATCTTGGAGCCGGTAGTCGGAAGACTCGTCGCTCGTATCCTGAAAATCGACAAATCATTCGTCATAAGATTTACTTAGATATTCATTTATTGAACTGAGGATGATTCCGGTTTCTCATTTCCTTTGCGTGGTAAGAGTAACCAAAATATGCATGCGAAAAGTAAGCAACAAAGATCCTCCGGTCCTAGAGACGCTTGCCCATCTCCATCATCCCAGCCTCCACCTACCATCGTATGTGCTTGTGAGACGCTGGCCACCTGTCGTTTGAGCTTCTCCAGCACACCGTGCTCCGGAGACTGATGTCTGATCGGTCTGTGATTGGTCTCCGCGTCAGATCCTCCTTCCAGGGGAGACTGGCCGCGCGACGGGGCCGAATCGGCGTCCGAAACCGCGCCCTGTGGATAAGAGGAGATGAGGTTAGGGTGATGCCATCATATCAGAATTGTGTCGGAGTCGGAGTTGTGAAATATGCGCGGGTGTGATCGTAGTGCGTATACTGCACAATGGTGGATTTGGAAAGAGCTTATCAATTATTGGTAACTGGCATGACGTAAAAATAGATAACTAATCGTTTCCTGAATTCCGAAATGGTTTCCAGATTCTCATACTTAAGTTAACCATTCAGTGAGATAAAAGTGAACAAAATGCAGAGCGCACCCTGGCACGCACGCGCCAAGCACAGCAGTTATTGTAACTGCAGGTGGGGTCGGTAAGCTCAGGACGGCGAGGGGCTAAGGTGCGGTTAGCCAAAACTGCTGATTGTTCGCCGGCCCCTCTGCCGGCGTGACTGGGCCGTCCAGTCGTGATGGCTCGGGCGGAGCCGGGGTGCGGTCAGAACAGCGCGCACGTCCGACACAATTAATGCTGAGGCCCGGCGTGGCTGTTTGTTTCTCCAGGAGATCAGTGGGGGATGGGGGCGGTCAGAGGTGATGTGTGGCTGGGCGGGGCGGCAGCAGCCCAGGTGCGTCCGCTGCCCACCGCTGCGGGTGGCCCCCCGAGATAGATGGTCATGACCGGTCTGTACGGACATTAGTCGGCGCTAATTCAAAATTGAGTCCGCGCGGGTGACGGCAAGCACCCAGTAAAATCTCGGTGAGCTAACGGAATAGACTGGCCGGCTCGCATATAACTGTCCAGAGTCGTGGGGAGATCTGCAGGAGGGGGCCGGGCGTGCGGTGTTGTTTCGGTGAGGAGAGAGCTTTGGCGACCACCACTCCTTTCGTAGCCCTGCATTCTGAGAGGAAGATCACTGCTCTGAACCGCGATCAGTGGACCACTGTTCATTGTTCAGTGACAATTGATCACTGATCACTTATCACTAGCCACCTCCGGCAATGATATGCAGCAATTCTTCAGTCGGAGCCAACACCCAGGTGGCAGCTCCATCCTCAGTATTTGTTGTGAGTTCACATCGACTACACACGCATGTTTTGCCATGGCCGATGTCCTGGCTGTCATACGCGTCTGTGTCCCGCGGAGAGGGGCCAGATAAATATTCGATACGGGACCTGTCCTATGGGAACGCCACGCCACCGAGAGACGTTCCCAAACATCAGCATCGTTCGCCCACTGTCCGGAAGGTTTAATGAGAACTCGTTGGAATGTTAGAGGGTCGGTTACACTAGGTGGCTCTGACACGACAATAATACGATGCCTCAGATGGGCCGATTGTTATACCTTGAGCTGAGAATGCTCCAGTGAAATTCCTGTCAACCAGTAACCGATACAGTCGATCCAACTTACCATTTGGTTATGTGCCACCATTTAGTGAGGCGACTCGAATTATTATGCAAATGTTGATGACTTTCCATTCAGCTAAGTGGCCACCATTCATCGCCCCATTGAGCACCATTGTTTGAGGAGTCCCACTGCAGACTCCCGTCCACATCCCCCCCGGGGTGGGCTGTTACTGGCGCTCAGACTGATAACATTCCGGACGTACCTCGGTGCGATTTGTACTCGACTTGCGCCGCCGGAGATGTGTGAAATATGTACCGAGCGGAGCCGCCGCACGCGGCGGGAGCGACCGCCGACCGGGGGCGCCTACTGGGCGGAGCGTCGGCGCGCCGGTGGGATCCCGGTGGGACCCGGTGGGATCGTGGCAGCCCTAGCGGGGTCCCACTTGGGAGCGCAGGGCGAGACGGTCACGGGACATCCTCTGATTATGGCGAAATCAATGATACGAATATAAAAGTCCGTCGATAACATTTGGGACATGCATTCGCACGAATGACTAAACTATACACTTCCCCAGGGTTTAATATCCCACATAACTGTTTTGTGAGACCTCATCGTTTCACGCGCCCCTTTGCTCTGTTTACCGGCCTGAGTAGATCACGGATACCGGAGAGGTATGTTGTTGATACAGAAGCGAGGGGCGTCTACTCTGGGATACACAGGAGGCAGTGGTTCTGGAGTTTACCTAAACATGGGCCTCCACTGACGGTACGAACCTGTGCCTGTCACGATGCCAGAGAAATATCCCCTTTCAGGCGTTGAGTTACAAATTACAAGCATGGTTTCAACTGTGTCAGCTACAAGAGCTGCAGGTTGTAATTCACGTTCTGTGGCGCTTGTTAACCCGCGCCCCACTGGGGGGGGGGGCTATTTATAGCCCCCCCTCCCGTTTTTCTGCAATAACTTCCGAACCGCTTGACGTATCGACGCCTAAACTTTCAGTACCTTCGGCTGCATCAATTTGACACCTTGTGTCAAAATTTGAACTTCGTACCTAGGTCTTCGTAATAGGTCGGCCGGAAATGACGTCAGAGTGACGTCATGTTCGGCCGATTTCGACGCAAAACATTGAACCACGGCAATCGCTCCCAAGAGCTCAGTTTTTAAGCTAGATCCAATTTCTTTGCATGAGAGGACTCAGAATTGACTGCGCTATCAAACTGCTGTCTCGGATTTTCGAAATTTTGAAAATTTCGAAAATTTTATATAATAATCTCCAAAATTTATATTTTTACATTTTTTTCAAAAAGTTTTTGACTTTTCGAAAAAACCGGAATATATGTGATAGAACGCATTAATATGACTGACTCTAGCAAGTTTTAGCTAAATATCTTCAAAAATGGCCAAGTTTACGCATTATTGCAAAAAATTCACAATTATTAATTTTTCAAATCAATTTTTCAGCACGTATTTGACATCGTACGCCAATATAAATAGCACCATCGTGTTCCTGAGCTCAAACTGCATCCAATAGACACCTTCTTTTGTTGAAAAATTTTAACTTCAAAATTTGACCTTTTTTGACCTGAAAGTGACCTAACATAAGCTAAATTCGACTCAAAATGACCTCGAATGACACAGACGACATCAAATTCGAAATCTCTGACCTAAATGGACCATAAAACATGTGTCACGTGACCGACGGCATGATATAATATTTTCGTGACCTGTGATGACCTGACCTTGACCTGAAAATCAAAGTACAAGTTTGGTACCCTCAGGGTAGCTAGAGCATCTGTTCACGAGTGTGTGATCCAAAAATGAGCCTGATCTGACTTGTAAGACGGCGGCCAGAGCCCAAAACGTGAATCAAGCCAAAATGCTAATAATTTTTACTTTGACCTGACCTGTGACGTCATCGGTGACCTCGAGGTCAATGAAATTAGGTTTCGCTCGACAGTTTTTCCGGGGCTATCAGACGCCGTTTGAATTTTGACGATCGGCCCAGTAGTTTCGGAGTTAGGAGGGGGGGCTATGAATAGCCCCCCCCCCCAGTAGGGCGTGTTATACGCAGACCCCAGTGGGGCGCGGGTTAACTCTCGCCCGCACATGGGGGGGGGGGGGGGGTTGCCACCCCTCAGGTAGTTTTTCTGCTCTATACTCATCTATACTCAATATTTTTAGAGATAGAAGCCTGATTTTCGTAAAGCTGCTCCTCTATCCTTTCTTAATGTCCACTGAAAATTTCAAGTTTCTGTGGTTTTTGGGTTCGGAGATATGACCTTGTTTTTCAGGTCATGTCATGACCCAAATGACCAATTCTCAACATCTTGCGTTGGCTATGAGCCTTGTGAGCTTTTGACGCCTTGGTTTCGGCCTTTTTTGCAAGTCTTACCTCACACCTATAATGGAACATGCTGTTCGACGATGTACAGAGGCCAAGGTCAAGGTCAAGGTCAACCTAGGCCATCTAAAATAATTGCGTTTTTAGCAAGCTGAATTTACTTTTCGTGAAGTTTTTTGACTCATTTTTGGTAAAAGCTCCTCAGATCATGATTTCATGTAATATGGACACATAAGCACTCGGTGCACACATCAGTATACACACAGACACAGACACACACAGACATACAAACACATATCATTGACCTTGACCTAACTTGACCTGAAATGACCTCAGCAGCAAAAATCTGGTCGGGTAGTGTGACAAAGAGGTTCTAGCTGGCTTGGCACCAGAAAACGGCATCGTCATCGATATATGATAAGCAGCGCACTTGATATCCAACGGTAACCCAAAACAGCAACATTTTTTAGTTTGACCTGACCTGGAAGGTCAATGACTGACATGAGAAGGTAAAACTGGGTATCATTAGATTCGTCTCTTCCCAAAGAATCTTTTTGGTCTTACCGCGAAGCTCTATCTCCAACAGGAACGAAATGGCGCGGGGGATGGCACCCCCCCCCCCCCCTATATGCGTTCTAGGATGGGAAAATGGCATGTGCGGGCGAGGGTTAATAATTTTACAGTTGCTATAAGGGAGAATTGCAAACATTTAGGCATCAGAACTGTTTCAATTTTAAAACATTCATGCGCTTAAATTTGCAGTAAGATACGATTTAGCATTTAATTAGTTCTTGCTTTTCAATTACTTTCGCGAAAAAGTGAAGTGATCACATCAATGCTCATCACTTTCATGGGTAAACTGTGTTCTATAACTGTGTGACATGTCTCGACAATCAAACCGTCCCACAGTACAGTACACCTCGGCGTCAGGAGGGGGGGGGGGGGGGGCGTACACGTGCCGACGAACAAACCACATTGACGTCAGGGGTCACTGGAGGACGACTGGGGTGAGCCCCTCGGGGAGGGGGAGGGAGGGGCGATCTGACACGTGTGACACCGCTCAGTTCAGTGGCATGACCGTGAGCGGCGAGGGCATTGGGTAGTGAGGGGTAGTCATGTTTGTCAGTTCGTGAAAATGTCAGTTTAGCGACTATGCAATGGACGGGATTCACGGGAAAACAATGAGATCGATTTTTACTTGGTATCGTCGATTCTTGTACATTGGATATTATTTAAAGCCTAGGCATTGAGCCAATAAAATTTAAAAAATTAAAATTGGGCACTAAAACATTGCAACATTGAACTGCTAACATTTTCTCTGGGAGCAGATATTTATGACTCATTTAAGAAATTATTAGCTTTAAACGAACTGAAGCTTTACCACACCAATACAACACCAATACGCTGAGGGCACTCCGGATCCTGAAGACATTTAAAACATTTCAGTACAGCTAATCATGCAATAATGGCATTGCATGAAAATTATGATAGACCTCGAGATGGTGTCACCACACCCACCTCATCGTCTCCGCCCCGGTGCTGGTGCTGATGGTGCTGGTGCTGCAGCAGCTGCCGGTACTGCTCGGCGGCAGCACCCCAGGCGGAGCTGGTCATCACACCGCTCTGAAACCAGCGGGGATAAGCGTCAGTTGCTGGTGAGGGGAAGGTGGCGAGACAAAGGGAGATACAACAGCCGATAGGCGATGAAGGAGAAAGAGAGAGAGATGGGGGGGGGGGTTCAGGTGAGTTTCACCGTGGCAGGTGTGAATCGATAACTGTTATTTTATTGCAAAAGTTTTACTATTGTAATTATTGCAAGAGTTTTTGGTAAGAATGTACTTATATCTGTCATTGACGTTGACCATCAATCATTTTCTTGAGCCGAAAGGAGAATCTGCATAAGCTACCAACTGTTGCCGTTTTAGTGGCCACTGCGGGCCACACCCCTCCCGTCTCTAGCGTCATCACTGCCATCATCTACGTCATCGACCGTCATCGGTCCGCCGCCCGCCGAGGCCGTCGAATGTTCGTCACTTTTTGTCACCATCGCGCCGCCACCGCCGCCGAACAGCCCACTGGCCGGAAACGTAGGCGTCCAAGCGGCCATTACAGAGGGGTGGTCATTAGTGTGCGGCCGCCGAGCCAGCTGACGGCGTCCTAATGACGTCATCGAGGACCGACCGGTGACGTCATCACGGGCCTGGTCGGCGCGGCGCCGCGCGCGGGTGGGCGGAAATGCTGGGCTAAAATTAGATTTAGCGCGAAATAGCCTAGAAATGCCAGTGGTTGGTGTAAATTCTAATAAAATGTAGGCATCATTAAATTATTATTTTCGGAGGCATCCTAGCATTATGGATAATCATATATGTGTGGAAAGCTCAATACTACTTTGAGGAAAGCAAAGTTCGGTTTTATTGAAAAAAGCTATCCAGTTGGATGTTTAATTGGCAGTCACAAACCTAGCTTAGCGACTAATGACTGTTGCCGTTAAACAACATGGGGCTGGTAGGCGTTAGAGCAGTGTCCCAAAATTGAGTTTTGTCTTGGGTGTCAGAGGGGAAAATTACCCATCAAAAAGAGGGGAGAGAGTGAAAAACTGCTGATTCGATTAGATCCAAAAAAGAGTGAAAAACGACAAAAAAAAACATGCATTTTATTCTAAGGTGTAGGACGCTTGATGCTAAACCGGGCATCCACACAACTGCTCTTTCTATAGGTAAAAATCTAGGTTTTCTTGGTTGGGAATGGAAAATTATTCTTAAAATTGGTGGTGAGAGTGGAAAATGAATTTCATTTGGATGTCGTTTCCCACCCAAATCGACAAATTTTGGGACATTGCGTTAGAGTGTAATTAAAAGCCGATAAAACATTATTTATTTTCAATTTCAATAACAATCAAAGTAGTCGTTATTATTTGTTAATATATAGAGGCTCTGGCTGAACTCCACTGTTGTAGCTCACTTAGCTCGCTTCTCCGAATAATATGGTTACCAAGGTCAGGGCATAGACATCTATAACTATTGGTAGGTATACTTCTCTGGTCTAGGTATGCATTACCTAGCCCAACTTCCTATAAACCTTTCGCATTATTTAAACTTTCTAAAAGTACTTCAGACAAATATTGATTCACTGAATGCATACTAAAACCATTGTTCTAGGCAAACATCTTTCTAGTTACACATCTGATGCACATCTAACGTTGGTGGATAACCGAATAAGCCCATTTGATAGCGTGCTCTTATCAGATGCATTATGCAATTCACGCCTTCCCACCTATTAATAAATATAGCAATTTCACCCGACTGTTCAGTGTTCAGTGTGACCTACCTTGACCACTTCTGCCGGCGTTTCCGTCTCTTCCATGGTCACGGTAGGTCCTCGCACTGCCACGTCGTACATCCCACGTGCCGCGGGCATTCACTCTCGTGCAGTCTCTGAATCACGTGGCGCACGTGCGTGCTGGTCGTGGCGGTCGAGGGTGATCGGAGGTCTCGCGTGCACGTGAGCGATCCTCTCCTCCCCAACGTATGTTGAACACTGAGCTCGGCCGCGGCTGGCGGCGGCCGACCGCCGGCCCTCGACCAATCACAGGCCGTCTAGGAGGGATCCGGCCGCCATCAGCCAATCAGAGGCCGCCCTCGCCGGTGCCTGTGCGATCATTCCGATATCTTGCTCATATTCAGGGGAATTCGGCCGCCCCAGGGTGGGGCTGCCCTGAATCGAGCGTGCTTGCGTGATCAGAGCCAACTATATTGAGGAGAGAGTGGAGTATTACCATTGTATTCTTTCGCACAACCCAACGGTTTGTGCTTCAGGGGAGTGACGATATGAGTTCAGTAAATCCTCATGTAGCTTTATCGGACGGTTGTGGAAAGGTAAAACTTGCATTCAGTGTGCCGATATGCTTTTCGCTTTTTTATCTATTAATTGATATGCGAGGTATATTTCTCAGTCCGAACTTTCAAGGTAAAATTTAGAGATTTATAAAAAAAAAATGACCATTGAAAAATCGCGCGCGAAATTCATTCAGTTAATGCGGTTCACCGGCCCTGAGGCAAATAATTTACAGCATTACCAGTTACGTCATCATTTACATACCTATTATACCTTTTATATCAATTTACAAAATGCTTAAATTTTTACACAATGTGTCTCATATTTCTCTCAGAATGCACGCATATAATTCTCTCTTTCCATGCTTATGATAACACGGGATTCCAACGACAGAACAACTTCACTCAGAGCGTATCTCCCCTGCTTGCCACCATTTCAGTACAATTCCCTCTCGCTTCTCCATCGTGGCCGAGCGGGCACGCGGCTGAAATGTGCGTTTAATTGCGGTGTTTGCTGCCAGGGGCCACCAACAGATGTCGTGATACCGCCGCGGCACTTAATCGCTGGCTAAGTGGGCTTCCCGGCGACACAGCGACCACCTAATTGGGCCGTTTGGTTGGACAGAGGACCGTGCTGTATCCACGGATGACGAGGAGAGAGGACAGGGCGGCACGGGTGAGTAATCAGGCAGGATCGAGGATCCGTAAGGATGGGGAAGACTGTGATACAGTCAGGGTGGGACGAGGGACAGGAGTAACTATGCATGGCAGGAATATGGCACTGTAAGGTAGCAAAGAGGTGGGAAGGAATCTGCACAGTGTGTATAAGTGTGCAGTGTGCAGTCTGCACAATGCACACTGCACACTATGAAAGGGCGCCAAAGGGTTGTTTAAAGGGTTGATGAAATGGTTGTAATGGAATGAAATGGAAAGGGCTGTTTGAAAGGGTTATCATTTCAAGTCAAACGCTATGTTGTGCACTGAGCAGTATCTCAAAACTAAATTCAACCGTAATTTCGAGTGGTGCAGACTGCAGGATATCGACAATGCAAGCTCGCCTCAATGGAAAATGTAATATCGATTATCCTTCATTACTACATTTTTCCTTATAGGTGCGTAATGCGTATGCCAGAATGTGAGCATGGAACATATTTTTGTGTTTACCCTTTACTCCAAAACAAACAGCCGGCACATATCCACACAAATACATACGCATGCGAGGTTACTCGGTATAAGGGGATGCAATTATCCTTCTATGCTCCATATCTGTTTGAGTTCAGCTTTGAAACGTGCCAGAAATCTGACACACAACCTCATCCTTGGTTAAATTGATCGTGATGTCCACTGAGTCTATTCATTTCCGAACACCCTCGGATGACAATTTTCTCGGATTATCGCCTCCCCTGGCACACAGTGCACTCCCACCACTCTCCGTCGGCTCTGAGGGCATAGTGCGCCAGGTTCGCCCCCGATCGGGCGGCGATAGTGGCGCGCCTGAGTGTCATCTGCGCACCGCTCTGCGCCATAATTGAATCAGAGCAAACCTCTTGGCCCATTCATTTGGCGGCGTCCGGTGAATATAGCCGGTCGGGTAATCGGCCCCGGTCGGAATTAGCCGCTCCGAACGGGCCAAAAATCCCACCGAACGACGCCGGCTCGCCCCTAATAATGGGGTCCCGCGGAAACTGATAAATTGAGTTCTGGAGCGGAAGGCTGGGTGATAAAAGGAATAATTGGCAATGACACAAAGGCCACGAAGCACCCTTGATGGCCACTGGAAGATTTAATGACGGGCCGGCTACTGACACGCCGGGCACAGGGCAGACCTAATTTTAGCTTTAGTAACGTCCACAAGGGGTAGGTAGGATTTGTAGATGGACATAAATAAAGCACGCGGGTGGCATTAGATATGTACATTTACAGTGCGTTTTGTATGGATTCTATGAATGAAAAAAGTAGATACATTCAGTCGAAATTTCATTTTCACCGCTGCAGTTATCAAGATATTTTTATCAGATAGTGAGTACGGTGAAAGTTACGTTTGGCCAATGGTAAATCACAGCTAAATTTGTTTTTGGCCCTCTCGGTGTCTAATAAATGCAGGCGCAGCTTCAGTTCATTTATCGTCGATAGAGAAAAAATTCATGCATGGAACTTTGGCACATTTTTCGCTTGCGGAAATTTCAGAGGACATCCTACATAAGGGCTACGAAAAATTATTTGTTCAAGCAGGCACAGCAGTGAGTGATGGAATGAACGACTCTTAGACACATGAAACTTAGTGCTCTGCTGATGTGCCCATTTAAACAGACTACAAAGCCTAACGAAGCCTTCCTTCACCAGCTTGAAGTTCTCTTGGCAGCTTTCGCGTGATTCAAACCGTTAGCTGCAGCCATTACTAATGACTGACGTGTGAGCCTTTCCTGTCCCTGACACTCCTAATGAGAGGTCGCCGTTCCAGCGGCGGGTGGCTCATGGTTCTATCAGGTCGGTCACGACCGGTCAGCCGGCGCCATCTTGAAAAAGGTCAGCATCAATGGGCGCCCCTCGGGGCCCGTCGACATGGCCCCGGGCGCAAAAACGAGCTCCACGTCGGCCCCATCCATATGTGAGAGTGCCGTGTCGGCACCGTCTTCCCGCTGGGCTGCGCTGGGTGGCCGCGCCGCCGGGCCCGATTTATGATAATGTTTTATCCGGCACCGCCTCCTCCTCTGGTTTCTCCATCTTTAATTGCTATTTTATCCCGAGTTCCGGCGATGGCGCGCGTCTCGCTGGGCCGACGTGCCGACCTCGCGGCGCGTGCCAGCCACACCCGGGAATTTAAATGGCCCCCGACTGGTATGGTAAGACAGATAGCGCTTATAAATGGCCGGGACGATGTTCACAAATCTAATGCATATAGATGAAGCGCCGTCCAGCCTGTTCAATGGAGAGATTAGCCCTGCTCGGATCGAGGAGCTCTTCGGCCGAGCGACGTCCCTGGGTACGTGATCCCTCATTCCTATCCAATTCATTCCATCATAGATAATTCCTTCCTTCTTTTGTGTTGTCCTCAATCTTCTCAGCCGGCCCGTTTTATTCCAACACCAAACTCCATGTTGATTCAACTTTTTGAATTATATTTCCTATATCATTTAATATGAATAGCTCCTCCTCGGTCCTTCTATTTCTGACTCCTCAGTTGGTCTTGTTTTTCCTCTTGCTGCTTCTTCACACACTCTTTCCTTTTTCAAACATGTTTGTTCTTCTTAGCCCTTACCCTTCCACTCTGTCTGTTCCATGCCTTTATAGTCTCATTTCGTTTTCATCCCACTTCCATTTCCAACCAATACTTTTTATTCAGCCTTGCTATGTTCTCACATGTTCTCATCTATTTTTCGACTTGCTCGTTTTTATTTTTCAACTAGGTTTCATTCCGTCTACTTTCCGCTTTTGTTGCGTTTTATTCCCTTCCTGTCCCGTCTCCGTCCCGCCCCATCCCCATCCCGTCCTCGTACCTTCCTGTTCCATCCCACTCCGTCCCGTTCCTGTTCCCGTCCCGTTCCTGTTCCCGTCCCCATCCCGTTCCCGTTCCGTTCCCGATCGGCCGTCTGTCGTTGAAGCGATGTCGACTGATCGAGGCCGACCCGGTCGGCCCGATACGATCAACTTTGGTAATGAAGTCAGTCGCTTCATTACCGGAGCGACTGACCCCGATCGGGTCTGTCGGAGCCGCGGGAGCTCGGGTCGCGCTCGGGAAGCTCGGGTCAGCCTCGGAGAGAGTGCGGTCAGAGGTCGACAGACAGGGTGCCGAGTCATCAGTCGAGCGGCGATCACTGATTGGGAAGCTCTGTTCGAGTCTGATTGGAGGTTAGGTGGTGGTGCTGTTGTGGTTTTCTGGGTGGGTGGGGATGACTCAGCTACTTTCTCAGCCACGCTTTTGTTTACTTTACTACATACATAACAGTTTTTAGGACATCATCTTGATTGTCATTATCATTGAATATTTCCGACTGAAACCATCCCTACACCACCGACATCTTCGTTCTAATCGCATTGGCGCTTTGCGATGTTTCTCTATTCTCTTTTTCTCATCAGCTCAAAGATCGCTGGCATCAGACAGGGGCTTGTTAAAAGGCGCGCGAGTTATGTTAAAAAGCACCGGTTGACGTTCGCTCGGGCGTGTGCCCTCCCTGAGAGCGGCGAGGAAGGGGGACGGGCGGCACCTGAGGGGACGCACGTGCCGCCTGAGCGACGCCACGTGCCACGGGGAGGGAAAGGAAGGGACGCCGCCCTCCCCCTCCAGGAGCAGCTGCCTGATCTGGAACTCAGGAGAGCTGCGACAGCTGGAACCTGTCCTCGTCAATTTTCAGCCATCTCTGCTAGAGATTTGTGAATGACAGACGCACGCTTCAAGAAGTTCAGCAAAAAAAAAGAGAAGAAGACTGGGTGGTAAAAATAACATCAGGTTGTTCAATTGCCACGTGTTCACCAGCTTCGTCGACAAATAGGATGAACCATAAAATAAACGAATACAACATTACAGTGTCAGTGGCTCACCACTTGCGACATCTTTCGTACACTGCCACGGAGGACCACCAGGTGCTCCGCCGCCACCGTGTACCCCTGTTGCCACCTGCAGGGACTCTGAGCTGGCTCACGTGACTCAGTCGCCAGGAACGTGGGCCACCCGGCGCCGGCGACCCCGCCACCCTCCACCGTCCTTCAGGGTCGTGTCAGCGCACCGGCCGCGGTAAGTCCTGAGCATGCTGCCGGCTGCGACCTGCCGGAACCCACTGCAGATGAAACACGCACCGTTCGCCACAAACGACGCACTCGATAATTACGGGATTCTTGCTGCGGTGTGGGGGAGGAGGGGATCGTTGGGAGGGGGCTCGATCACAGTCTCCCGCTGAGAAGGCGCCTGAAGTTCCCGGCAGCGGAAATGGTCCCTGGTCACCGGTGATTTGGTCGCTTATGGGTGGCCGCTAGCTCCGGCAGAGTTTCGATCGGAGAACTGCCTGACCGCAGGAGACAAAGGCAAGGGGAATGAGAGCGGACGATAGAAGAGCTCAATAAAAT